CAGTTGCAGAAGATGTGACCGAAGTTGAGGCGTGTTCCAAAATTTGGCTCACCAAATGTAGCGTGGTGTCGAGTTGAGCTTGACTATGAACACCGCTACCAGACTACGTGCCAATAGACCAATAGGATTCCGGTAGGCCAAAAATCAGAAGGCATATGATAGTAGTAGTTGCAATATATTTGTTGGTGATCTCGTGGTATCGAAAGAATACCGAGATCGTGCCAAAGGAGTACAGATGCGATCAGCAAGAAAAGATACGTGCGTAGTCGAAAACCGCGTAGAAGCAATGGGATACAATGGAAGACCAAAATGGCTGTTATTAGCACAGTTAAACAAACGAGCACAATAAAACAATCACTGGTACTGAAGATGCCACAGGTATTCGGAGTTTGACAACGCTTTAACCAGTAACACCTTCTAATACGAAGCGCACCCACCAAGTAAAACCAAAAGACAGAAGCGAGTAGATCGAAGATATATTTGATAAGCTATCAATATATCGAGGATCGTTTGCACTAATCTGGCTAGCGATTGAGGCAGATGTTAAGCACGGCGTTCCCACACGTGATCTGGTGCGGATGCTTGACCGAGCGCCTTCAGCTAGATGAGTCCACTAAAACTGTGGTCAGCATCCAATGTCGAAAACTTACAGAGCTATTTGATTTTGGGGAATTATTTACCGCTACAGATCACTCCCCCCCTAGTGGGGTAGTGATGACCCTAAGACGTGGCCAGCCAGAAGTTTAAACCCAACGAGATTTTCGTTGGTAAACACTCTTCTGATAGCTTGCTAGGTTTAGCAGCGTCTGGTCGTCTTTCCTTACTATAATGGACCATGATGTACAATATAGTAAAAAAAAGGTACACTGCAGATTTTCGTTTTTCGCAACTTCATCGTTCTTTTCATCGTCTTTTCCAGTCGTCCTGGAAAAGAAAAGAAAAATATGTAAGTGCATGTCGGAAAACACTCGTACGCGCGTGAGAACACAAAACGGGAGAAGAAAAAGGAAAACAAACTCATGCTCACGTAGTAGCGTAAAATAAGATTTTTATAATATCGTTATTTTTTTGTTTTTTTTTCTTTTTTGAAATAAAAAAATAATATATAAGCATATTAAATTCAGGTTTTTTTTTAAAAAAATTATATATAGTACCAGGGAAAATCGAGGGGATATAAAATGTTAACTTGTGTCTTACGTGCTGTAATCGTTCAAGTGTTCTGGAAATCTTACTCTTCTTCCAAAACGCGTTGTTTTGAGTTTATTTTCGGATACTGTCGCAGTATCAACGTGTGTGTCTGCTGTCGATTGAGGCATTATAAGCGCAGGAGTTGTGTCGTGCGATTGTATTGAAGGAAAATCGACGTGAATAGGATTTCCTTCTAAATACGCTGCTTTGAGGCGATCGATGCTGATGCTTTCGTTGGTTTCGTTCTTATCTATTATATAGTACTTAGATTCGCGTTGAAGAACTTTGAAAGGTCCTTCATATGTTGATTCGAGAGGTCGTCGATACGAGTCTCGACACACGAAAACGTGTGTACTATGTAGTAAGTCAGGTTGAACGAAAACATCAGTTGATTGTGGTCGAGTGGAAACAGGTTTAACTGAACGCATTGCGTTTGTAAGCCTGTTCGCGTAGGAGGTTAGATCCATATCCATCGAAGAGGATGAAGGATCCACGAACTCTCCTGGAAGTCGAAGGGTCGTACCATAAACGAGTTGAGATGCAGTGTATCCAATGTCAGATTTCACTGCATTGCGTATGCCTAGTAAGACGAGTGGAAGAGCGTCAGTCCACTGAGAAATGTTTGAGGCTGATAGTGACGCTTTTAGTTGTCGGTGAAAACGTTCTACTAATCCGTTTGCTTGTGGGTGGTAGGCCGTCGTTCGAAAGTGAGTGATTTCTAGTTTCATGGTCAGACAACGGAACAGTTCAGATTCAAACTGACGTCCACGATCTGTAGTAATGGTTGTTGGGCAGCCGAAGTTTGCTACCCACCTCTCGACGAAGGCGCGGGCCACTGTTTCAGCAGTAATATCTTTGATGGGTACTGCTTCTGGCCATCGAGTAAAACGGTCTACGCATGTTAAAAGATAAGAATATCCATTTGAATCTGGTAAAGGTCCTACCAAATCCAAATGAACATGGTTGAAGCGAGCATCGGGAGTTTTAAACGAGCCTAAGGGACATTTGTTATGCCTAATAACCTTAGGTTTCTGACAGCTTACACAGGAGCGTGCCCATTCCCTCACGTCTTTATTCATACCGGGCCAGCAAAACCGTTCTGCTATAAGCTTGATGGTTGCACAAACACCTGGATGAGAAAGTTTGTGCAACGTATCGAAGACGTTGCGTCGATATTGTTTCGGCACGATTGGGCGATCCCTACCTGTAGATGTGTCACAAAGTAAGGTTTCGTTACCTGTTCCCATCTGTTTAATGCGCAGTTTAAGTGTTGTTGAGGCCAACTCGTGCTGAAGATCACTGTCTTCTTTTTGAAGTTGGGCGAGTTTTAAAAGGTCGATTCCTTGGGAACTGATGAGCAAGCATTGCTGCTCGGGCGATATGTTCCTAAACCGTGGAGAATGCTTTTCGGGTAGTGTCATCTAGATTAATGGATTTCACATTTCCACGAAGTTGGTCGGTAAGGGGTTTCATAAGTAACGCGCATTTCGGTATGAATCGTCTATAAAAACTTACCAGACCGTTAAACGTGCGCAATTGCTTGATGGTGGTCGGTTCTGGGTAATCCAGAATGGCCGCCACTTTCGTTCTAAGGGGTCGAATGCCATGCGCATCTATAGTGTGTCCTAAGAAGTCTAAGGATTCGGTTCCGATTTGGCATTTCTGAATGTTTACGGTAATGCCATGTTTTTGTAGTCGGTCGAAAACAATGTCCAGATACTGGAGATGTGATTCTCTGTCCGGACTTGCTATTAGACAGTCATCAACGTATGCATGTACGAAGTTGAGACCTCGAAAAACGTCATCTATGAACCTTTGGAAAGTCTGTGCCGCGTTTCTCAGACCGAAAGGCATTCGCAAAAATTCATAGAGTCCGAAGGGCGTTATAATAGCGGTTTTTGGAATGTCTTCAGTGGCCATAGGAATTTGGTTATAAGCTTTTACCAAGTCAATTTTTGAAAAGACAGTTGCACCTTTCAAGGTAGCTGTCAAATCGTGAATGTGGGGCAACGGGTAACGATCGGGAACGGTTTTTGCATTCAATCTCCGATAGTCACCAGTTGGACGCCAATCGTTGCTGTCCTTTTTAGGGACCATGTGCAACGGAGATGCCCATGGGCTATTTGACGGTCTTATGATCCCTAAGTTTATCATATGGTCGAATTCGTTTTTCGCCAACCTTAACTTTTCGGGGGCCAGTCGGCGTGCTTTCGAGAAGACAGGTGGTCCTGTAGTCGTGATGTGATGTGTAACATTGCTGGTTACACACGGCAATTTCGGTTGCGATTGGTAAATGCCAGAATATTTATCGAGCAGTGGTTGGTAGAAGGGGTCTATAGTGTGCTTAATAGTGACTGGGGATAACCTGCAACCAGAAAAAGAAGTCAGGCAAACAGATAAATTAGTGTTTCCGTCTACTAACCTCCGTTTGCGCGTATCGATAATTAAGTTGTGGTGTTGTAGAAGGTCCATACCTATGATTGGCATAGAAACATCTGCAACAACGAAAATCCAGTGAATGGGTTTGCGTAAACCCACGTTAAGATAAACATACCTTTGGCCAGAAGTAGCAGTAGGCTTTCCGTCTGCCGCCTGTAGATTAAAAACAGGCTCGTGTAGCCTGTCGTCGGAATTCGCTGGGAGAACCTTAAATTCTGAGCCAGTATCGACGAGGTAGCGAACTCTCGTTATCATATCAGTGACATATAATAGACGGCTATGTTCGCCGGCTACGGTCGCCGTTAACGCGTGCCGGCTTGAAAGTTTCCCGAAACGTTCTTCGCGTCGACGGATTTCGCGTTGGGGAAATTGCAGGGTTTTCTGCAATTTCTGGCAGACTTTCCGTACTGGTTATGGTACCAGCACCAATCAGGATTATCCGTCTCTCGAGTTCTAGATACGGATCGCCTACGTGATGTGCTCCTCCGCGGAGTAAGTGATCGTTTACGGTCGTTACCGAGTTTGAGATAGCGCGTAAGTGTATGACATAACTGTGTTATGTCATTCTGGGTCGTTTGAGGCTTTTCTTTGATTGAAAAAACCTCGGCGTTAGGAGACCTAGTGATCTCGAGAATGCGATCGGCAGATGCCGCTAGTTTGTCTACGGCGTTGTTTTGGAACGAGACCAAAACAGCTTGCACCTGTTGAAGAAGTTTGGATAAGAAAAGTTGCTTGAATAGGCCGTCATCGAAGGTTCTTTGGCCAATGACTTCTCGCATTCTTTGCAATATGTCTGTGGCAGAACCGTGTTGCAGGTCGATGTTGTTAAGGAGTTGGTCTAACCTTTGTCGATCGGTTAGATCTCCGCGTTTAAGGATGGCCTGTTTCAGTGTTTGGTATGGATCAGAAACATCACTAGTAAACATACTAGGTGTTACGTACCTGTTGAATTCGCGCGGTAGTGCCTTGACTAGTGCGAGGAATTGTGCACGCGCAATTTTGCAGCATATATTTTCGAATTATAGGAGTAGGTATCAAAGTGTATAATTGCTAGCTCTCTAGTTATCTAAGCAGATGAGTCTTAAGGCCAGTTGAGTTACCAGCTGATGTGGATGCTTCGCTGAACACCCTCATTTTCGTCCATTTTCAGGAAAACCGAAATGGTCAACAGCAATCTTAAGTGTTTATACTTTATTGATCTTTGTGCATTGCTTAAAACTTACCACAGCACCAAGTTGTGTATCAATTGGTTTGTATTTATTACTTTTTAAAACATTGATACTATCATCTGATGACAATAATCACCAATTATTCTATGATATGAAGATATGCGCTCATGATTATGAAATTGGACGTTCTATGGATCTTTAGCGGCTAACTTCAAGTTGGACGTTTCAATTTGTTAAAGGTATGTTCAAGCAACCTGGTTTTTATTGCTTGTGTCATAGAGCTTAGTGTAATCCTGTTATTTGGACCAAATTTTGAATCTTTTACTTATTTCAAATTTCTGGAACTGCTTTTTCACCAGAAAAGCTATGTAATAGGAAGACACAGTGGATAATTTTTTATTTCAATGTGATTAAAATCATGATTTTGATATGCTGCTAACTGTTAAAAGCCTTCCTAAAGAATTAATAGACTGATCCTGTTATTGCGGGCGTTATTATTTTTAATGGCTTATTATTTACTTCAAACCTACACAGTTACTCATTAACAGTTCAGACGTTAGATTACTGTAGTAAACCCAAGTTATCTATTACTACTCCTTGGTTTTCGTCTATCCCATCCATGACAGATTTTAGTGATACTTTATACCATAGCCGTTCATTCGCAATTAATATGTGACGTGGCATAATTTCTTATCTGCATAAGCAGCTACTCAGTGTTATTATAATTCTTAGCAGAGGAGCTTTTCTGCGACTAGCTGGAATAGTTGATTCATCATTAAGTCAGAAAAATTAGAGCTAATTCAAGGCGTCAAGGGCTCATCAGTCATTCAATGGTGCCGAGTTGTTTTCAATCAATGGTTTATCATTGTGTATTTCTTTATCGTCTTTCGCGGAATTTTAACCACCTAACAAGATCAAGTGATTTGTGACTTGTAAGTACAATATGTTAACGTCTGGATGATGAGTCCCATCCAAATTTGGTCTGAGGTACAGACTTTTGTCTTCTGCCTTCAAATTTATTTGTTATTTTATGTTTGATTTCAGTGGGGGTTCAGTTTTTCAAATTTTAGATAATATGTAGCCGGGATCCAAGCGTAAAATTCATCTGGTTTCAATATCTACAATATGAGTGTTTTGTGTAATTGTCTACATTTCAACAACATATCTATGTAAATATGAACAGTTTCTGTGGCTCACTACCTATAATTTTCACATCTTACTGTGGCCTGAGTATCATCATGATATACTTATGGTTCAAAAATAGGCATAACGTAGGATTGTTGTTTATAACTATGTCGAAGTTAGTGTTTGTAATAAAATTATTTTGCCTGTTGCAAATCATCACAAGCAAGCTCATTAGACAGATATTATAATATCAGTTGGAGATTTGAATGCTCCGACCGGGCGTCTAGGAACAAAAAAGAGTCTCTTGAGTATCTAGTAAGGACTCGTTGGCCACAGGTCAGATAGCGATGACCGTCTCTTGAAACTTTGCACAGACTACGTTTTCCTAGCCTTTACTAATTTCCGACACAGTCATCGCTATTAGGTACTCGCCCTCTGTAAGTCAAGCCTGGATCCACTGACCAAATCACAATCAACTATTCTCGGTGTGTTTTCATACAAAACCGCTTCTACTTTAAGAGCACTTATTTAGACTCTTATCATTGGTTCAATTTGCTTCAAGCTTACTTTACACTTCAGTGGTCAACAAATTCGTCGTCCTAAACAGCTTGATGTAAGTAAAATGGTTGCACTCAGATGTCATACCGTTTTGTGTTCAAGATAAGCTACCTACCCACCGGAAATTATATATATATATATATATATATATATATATATATATATATGCGTTGGCTAAGCTTGCATGATACTATAAGTGGCGAATCACATCTGGTGGCATGGCGAAACATCCTTCATATAAGCTCTTGGTTTCTTCAGTATCCTTGCAATTCCTTGATGTTTACCAGTCAACTCTGGCGAATCATGCATTTAGCGATATATAAAGATTACTTCAGGAAAGATGGTGATCTCAGAGCTCTATCGAAATAGGGATAGCTAGATTACATCAGTCAGTCAGTCAGCTGCAACGTAGGACCAGGCACGTATATGCATCGGTCCAAGTTGCCATACCGCATGGTACCTGCCGAAAGCTATTTCAACTCATCTGAGCCACGTGTAGCAAAAACGTCCGATGCATAAGTGAGACAATTTGTGAAATTAGTGGTACGCTAAGCCATAGCACTCAACAATGTCGTGAACAATAAGTGGAGCAATTCAGTCTGTTGTTTCCGAGGCATCAGGTTTAATGCCTTTTCGTTTTAGGTTTGTGGCCACCGATCCACCAATCAAAGCGAAATCTCAAGGAACCTCAAATTGCAGAGTATGTCAATTCACCAGGCCCAGATAACCTCTCCGTGATCTTCTGAGGGGGAGTAGAGAACTAGGTAAGGAACCAACTAAGTTGTTTGAGAAAGTGAATGCGTTACAATTTCTTGGGATGAAGCAATCATCATCCTCATCTTTAAAAAGAACTTATGCCATCAATGCAATAACTATCGTGGGATAAGTATACTATTGGTTGGATCTAAACTATTGACTTTCGTCATAATTTATAGATAGTTCAAAACCCACAAGACTGTCTCGCTAGAGGCGTTCTGATTTCCGATCAGTTAGCATATTTATTAGTCATATCTTCACCTTCTAATAAATATCAAAACACCAATATACTTATCACAGACCAACAATTGTTGTTTCTTGATATCAGGGCCTCTTTCAATTCATGAGTCATAAACACATAAATATTGGTACAAGGGGTCAGGATTGTCTGCTGAAGAAGAGTGTATCTGCGTTTATTAACGTATTATTAGGACTCTGTATGGAAACACCTCAAGCAAAACGAGAGCATATAACCACGTCTTTCTATTGCTTTACCATAGGAATGGATTTATACAGGGCTCCCCGACATTACCATTCCTCGTCATATTTGTCATCGTTGACATTCTGGGAAGAGCTCGGATACCATGTAGTTCATTAATTATTATTATTATTATTTATTTAAACATATAAACATAGGTACAAGAAGGCACCAAATAGATATGCACCACATAAATCATTCGATTTGTGTGAGGACTGTGATACTACCTGGGTGCCCAAACCGAAGCAGGTGGTTATCTTAGCGGGACACACCCGAAGCCTTCGACCTAGAGGTCTGATCCACAACGTAGTGGAGCAATGTCGGGAGATGCAGTCTCATGGTAGCCGGTGACCAACGATCGGTTCAGGATACTAGAGCCCATATACACCATTGGTTTGGAATGAGGGTTTCCCAACTCCCCTAGGTGAACTCTCCGTGTTCACCGACCCTGTTAGAGCGCCAGACATTCACTTTTCATCGTTTGAATTTTGTAAACAACAGTAATCCGGCGAGAAGGTAGTGAGTAGGACTTCCCTGGCAGTGGTTGTATGCACGTGGCCATATGAGAGCATTTCGAGATGGAGAGCTGACTCTCTCCACTCTCGGCTGTACCAGAGCATTTGGGGGTAAGTATATAGTGAAAGATGTAAACTCGTTACCCCGAGAAAGACTTTGATTTTGAGTATGCAGATATACTTTATTTATTTATTTGAACACAAACATTAGTACAAAGGGGCACCGAATACATACGCTCCACATAATAAAAATGAGGTTGTGAAGAGATAGAGAATGGTTGATGAGTATAAAGAAGAAAAATAGTGGACACAATTTAGTGTATGAGAGCAAAATAACAATAATAAAAATGGGAGAAGCAGTTCAGTTAGGAAAAGTGCAACCAGAAAGAATTCTTTTAGTTAGAGAAGGTACATTCACTATGATGAAGAAAGTAAAAGTTATAGCTGGATCGCCCATTGCAACACCGTGTTAGTAATACCGACGTTCGTCAATGTGTATGGGCACAGTTGTAATTCGGTTAGTACCTCCACTTCATACTCAGTGGCTTAAACATGTTCTAAAAATGTCATCAAAGGGGTTCTCATTTTATTTACCGACTCTAGAACTGGTTAAAAAAAGTATAGGTGGTTAGTTTATGACAAGGGCAGTATAGAATTGGCTCTTAGCGACCCATCACGGATTTGTGGTTGCAATCCTAGAAATGGTGCAACGTAACGGTTTGAGACATTATCAGACAGCTCAGAATAGATACAAATAGCGATGTAGGTGTAGCTATCTTTTACATTCTTCACAGAACCGAGTGGAATCCCCTTAACTGAAAAAAACCTATCTCGGTTGTACTGTTAACTGAAATTTACTTCACATTGCATACTATTAGTGTCCACTTTATTTATTTTATATTCTTCCTCTTTAAATATACTCCATCCCCCTCTTGTTTTTCCCACAGCGTCATCTCTGTATTTCGCGTGAAGCATTCTGTTTGTAGTACTTAGTTGTAACAGATTTTGTGTGCATTAGATAAGTAAATTTAGTCATTGCTGTATCAGGTACAATTTGCACTTACGGGCAATACACATAAGTCACTGTACTCTACAAAGTTGGTCTTCACACTTATATTAGTGTTGGAAGTGCTTACAGTAATTCCTGATTATGAATGACTGGGAGGTTCTACCAATACGAAATGAAGTCTACGAGAATTGAACAGACCCGAAAACCAATGCTTAATACTTCGATGATTATTCCGCGCATGACGGTCTATAAAGAAATCTTTTACAAATAGTTTATAGACAAAGACCCTAGAAGAATTGAATTACATTCACTTATATACATTTAATTTAATAATTGCAAAATTTACCAATCTAAGCATTTGTCACTTGAACACAAATTCACTGTGCATTAATTAATGCATTGAAAATAAAGCAAGCTAATTTCATACTAAACAAATCGATCGAGTTGTAACACATTTTAGGTCAGTTAACGGAGTACATTTCAAATCAATTCGTAAATTGTAGAATTGATTTGTTCTTAAATGCAGTATTTAGAACTCAACACCCCCAAACACTAGTTTTAGTCTATATACTTGGTCCCGTCAAATATAGCATTTCTCAAATCTATTCGGATTAAAAGTGCAATATCACAATTTGTTTATATTAAACTGGTTTTTTTGTAAATAATCTGTAGATTCTAGACCTTTATGAGAGGTTTAACGTTGTACTGTGCTTTACTTCTTCCTCTTTATATTTTTCCAGACATTTGTTCCACCCGTTTGTATGTCAAAATAAAACCGTTGACGTTTATATATCAATAACCAATGCTCGTTAAATATTTAGTTGGCTGTTTAAACGCTTAATGACTTCAGGCTAAAGGTTCACAGTTATTTGGTAAATCATGCATCGAGTTTCGGATGTTCCGGTCATTATGTTTAATCCATACTTAACGTGTAATCTTTGCCGAGGCTATTTAATCGATGCCACGACAATTGTTGAGTGTCTACACTCTTTCTGCCGAAGTTGTATCTTGACTTATCTCAAACTGAACACAACATGTCCGGTTTGTGCGACACTTTTGCACAAAACGAAACCACATTGCGCAATTCGGCCTGATCGTGCACTACAGTCCATTGTTTACAAGCTTATACCGAATTTATTTGAAAAGGAAATGCTATGTAGAAGAAAATTTTATGAGGGTGAGTATTTGTTTAGTAAATTTTTGCTGAATTTCAGGCAGATTTCAACGTTTCCGCTTTGTTGATTAGACGTTTGACTTTATAGTGTGTTACCCTATATATTGTTGGGTATACTTTGTTGCATCGTAATTTCTAGTATTAGTTGTGGGTTTTTGTACATACATACAAGTGGAGTAGAATCTCAAGAAAAGATCGAAATTTCCTTCAACTTTCTATATTTGATCTACTGTACTACCAGTCAGTCAGCAACGACGTAGAACTTCGTACGTACGTACATCAGTTCAAGTTGCCATACCACCATTCATTATTCTTATTATGGCCCGTCCTACACACTTCGTATGAGACATTTCTTTGTCTCACTAGTTGTACCAATGTTTACACTTTAGGTAAACAAGTTATTGGCCAAATCTATTTTGCATAGTGAAGACAAGCAAAAGGAAATCTAAACCCGTTACTTGTTAGTTAAGATAATAATATATGAACTAACTCATCAGGTACTTGTGTATGAGCCATATTCCAAGTGTGAGAGCTGATTATAGGGATGAAATACGGAAAACTGTATAGCTGTTGTGCTTACTAATTAAACATTAAATTATCGATTATCCATTTTCAAGTTCCCGAGTCATTGTGTTTTTAACAAGTTTGGAATTGACGGTTAATAAATGAACGTTCAGTTCCTGTTAGTTTCATTTGACAGATGTTACCTTAGTGCACTAGTTGGAACTAGCAATTGCGATGATGAAATCAAGCCACCCACTGGAAAGCTCAGTCATCGCAATTATATATATATATATATATATATATATATATATATATATATATATATATATATATATATATATATATTTATTAGTTGTACGCTTATGTTTAATGTTGGAGATTATCGTGGTTCTTACTCTGTAAACAATTCTTGTAGTGATACTCACTTCATAGCTGATGGATGAAATTTCATGTCTTTTTTGTCTTGTATTCAGTACAGCTACTCAACTTTCAAATATTTTATGATCGATAAGGACAACCTCAACTAAAACCCCATAAATTTGGGGGTTTAGTATCAAACGTTTTTCCCTTTCCATTTCTTCTGTGGGAATTCGATAGTATATCGACCAATAAGGTCTTTTGTATTTTCCGACACCTCAAAAATTCATGTTCTGAATTATGAGATGCTGGTCAATAGCATTGGTAGATGTAATGTCATGTGTAACTTAATCTATCTGTCATAACTTTAACTTTGCAGATCATCCTTCATGTTACACTCGATCCTTAAGTCCTGAAAAACGTGGTGATTTAACCTTGAATACTTATGTACTCCAAGAAGAAGATCGTCTAAGTGTTGAACTTCGGTACTGGAATCAAAGCGAACATAAGAATAATGGTTGCTCAAGTAAAACTTCTAGTCAAACAGATTCAATTAACCCGATACTGCCTGTTATCCCCCCTACATTTTTACTCTGTCCACCTGAACTTACAGTGGGACATATTGAAAAGCTGATTCGAATGAAGTTCAATCTAAAACCCAGTGAGCATGAGGTTTCTGTATTCTTTTCAGTCGACGATCTTTTTAATTCTAACTATACACTATCAGATCTTGCCTGCTTGTATGCCTGGCGTCGCCAACAACCTTTTAAATTATATTTTACAATAAAAGAAACATCGAGGCATGGATTTTCTGTGTTTATGGAATCGCAACCCCCTTCAACATCGAGTAATCTTACTCATAGTATTCTGGATAAACCTAAAATATCTCCCCAAAATAATAATACATCTTGGTCTGCAAAATCCAAATCCAGAAATTTCCCAACAAATTCCCTTCGTAAACGACATGTGAATAACTCTGATGATGAAATGGAGACTACTTCATTTGAAGTCTCTGCGCCAAACTCACAAATCTCATCACAATCATCCTGTAAAATATCACTTCCAACACAGTTCATAAAATCTATAAGCTTATCATCTCCTATGCTCAATACTTCAAGTTCTGTTTGTTCTTCGCTAGCCTAAAATTTAACTTATGTCTTAATATTCCATAACTAGTCATTCGGATTTATACCTCTGATGGTGCTTTATACTTTTGAGTCTGATTTTCCGGGTATATTATTGAAATTTTATTTATTCACATGGTTTTTTTGGTCATTGCTTCGTAAAGTCTCGTCAGAATCTGGAATAATATTCCAACTTTTGTCCTAGTTTTGTACTAGGGCTATTGTAAATTGTATATTTATTTTTCTTTCTATCATTGTTAAGTTCAGGCCGGTTTTTAAAACTTGATACTCTTCTGAAATAACTCCTTTAACGTTTCAGATTCTTTTTCTGGCCTTTTTTTTACTGTCGTGTTATACTATGTGAATTGTTGATCCATTTTCAGTGTGATACAAATTATGCGGTCCATGTTCTTGATTTGCTGAACTTATCAATCTATATTGAAATAAATGTGGTGACCGTCTATTTAATGTCTCGCTTAACATAAAAACTGCAATTTAAAGTTCCTAGTCAATTCCTGAGAGATATGAAACATGTATTTTTAAAAATGGGTTTCAGTAAAACCAATGTATCATCCTTACTCTTACAGTGAATAGTAACCCTCTTGCAATTCCTTAAATTGTTAATTTTCTTTTAGTTTATCGTCACTGACATAAGCAGTGCTGCATGCTTCGCCTTCTTTGATACTTTTAGTTTGCAAGCATTCAGAAAAGATTACTTCCTTGTGACTGAAATACTGATTAATTTAATCCAATAACAGCAATTACCTATGCCGAATGTGCTGTACTAAAAAGGTGGTTATTTGACATTGTATTTTCAAACGCTGGACTAAAGATTTTAAACTCTAATCCATGTCGCTTATATTTTGGAAATCCAGGTGATAGTATCACCAACTGTCATACAAAATATTTTACTCAGAGCCTCTGTGAATCTGAATAGTTGGTTGTATTATCCTGATTACTTACGATACCTGGTATTGTTTAATCTTTCATAATTTTTTCTGTATGTCAAACGAGATGTTTAACGAAACATTAGGACGAGATAAGTTGAAAGTTATACCGTAGATGGGACCGACTAAAGAAAATTATTGATGTTTTGTAACTACAGGGAAATATACTTGACCTGAAATGATCTTTGTCTCTAATGTAGCTACAGATTCATGCCTCTATTATTAAGGATTTTTGAAGTCTTTCTCAATTAATAATAATTACTGTAAGAAAAGTGCTCAGTCAGTAGAGACTCACGTCCTATACCCGTATGAATCTACTCTTCACATGCCGATCGCGGACTACAATTTCTACACTATCGATATTACCTTTGGATAATAGACAAGCTACTTCCTTAATTTTTGTCTGTAAATCCCCCAGTAATCACTTATACCGAAAGCATAAAAAAGCTTGTTTAACTAACATCATTCTCTGCAGAAACTTGTGAGTTTGAAAATTCAATTTTGGGCTGTTTAAACTATTGAGGTCAAGAGGTGAATGATGCTTTCGTTGTAGTTTAAGTAGATTCCTAAAAACCTACTATCAAATGTTAGTATTAATTTCACAGAAATAAACGAAATAATACACACAAAAGCAAATCATTGTACAATTCGCTTTCTTTTAATACACAATACAAAATGCAGTTACTTATGTCATAGCTTAAGTCGACTAACAGCATGTAACTTCAGCTGGACCGAATCTAATTCGTTCAACAGTTTGTTACTATCAAAACACAAGGTATGTAAGCGTACGAGTAAGTCATTCAAGTCTAGAATGAAATTATCCAAAATCTAGTCCTAGTAAACTCAATTTTTATGTATACTTCAATAAATATAACACCATCCTAGGTAAATTCTCTTCCATGTATGCACTCTAATTCTCTCAACAGCTGGACGGGTTTCTGATAGTAAATTGGTATGCGAGCCAGATTTTTAATTCAATCAACAACAGGTCCAGTGTACACTCAACCACAACAGTTTATTGTGCTAGAAATGTGCACAATCATTTAAAAAAATAGGGATATGTAATTGTGTTCCTCATTGTAGCTTCTTCCTCTAAGTTGTTAATGACTGATTTCCACAACGCTCTAAAAGGGATATCGTGTTACTTTTAGAATGAAAAGTTTTACATCCTAGTAATTATACAACGACTTCCGTTGACGCTATCTTCGAAATGAGCTCATACATACTTTTTACTTGTAAATTTTTATAATCGTTAGTGAATTATCATACATTTACAGGCATCAAATCATGGTTTAAATAAGAGCATGTTTCAGACAGTTCTCAAGTGAGTTAGTGGTTATCGATGTCTTTTCGTATGTGCGCGCTAGTCCACACTGGGAACAAATCATCAAAGTAAAATGGTAACAATTAGTTATTACCATCTCTACGATAGGATAAAGCTTTAAAAACACGTGAATGTCTACTAGTTTGGTTTTTTAAATGTGAAAGTCGCGTTTAACGTTTTTCGTCATTGGAACTGCTCTTAGAACATCGGGAGACGAAAAAACAGACATCAGCTATTATCTTGACTCATTTTTATTATAGTACCAATTATTTAGGTAGAGTAATACCCAGCTAGAATATAGACTGGAAGCACACTTTCTTTAAAATCCGACTTCCCCGTGAGACTACAGGCAAATGTTGTAGTGCCCAGATACCCAAATGTAAGGTTGTGTGAATTCAGCGCATTAGATAGATAAAGTCAACTGAATAACCATACTTTAGTTTAAATTTATCATGTATGGAAAAATCAGGCTTATTTGATTTGAAAATTCATATCTCTGACAAGACCAACAACATATTCTTAGGAATACATTTTTATGAACAACGACCTGCATCCAGCAATTAGTTAATACATTTCACTAAGCAAACCCCAATTTCTTCTACTACCACTGGTACTATTTCTACCACTTTGGTATCCATCGTGATAATTTTTCTCACTGCTGATCGATGTGGTGTGGCGATTTGTACGGATGTAAGTATGTGCTAGATCCTACGATACTACCTATAACTGACTGCTGAATTCAAGGGCGAGAAAGTGAGTTGATATTGAACAAAACAAAATAAACATACTTAAACAATTGATACCGTTCAAGTTTATTTCCTTTTTAGATACTCTCCTACTATCTTTCAAGATATAAAATAAAACAGGGAACTCCATTATAGCACAATTTATTTGAGCGCTAAGTGAAGTACAAATTGGAAAGATAACCAAAGTTATTGGAAAAATAAATTACGAAAATCTTGAAACTAGGAAATTCAAACACATGTTGTGAAACAATAATATATAAAAGAAAAAGGAACAATCAAACAAAGGGCATCTAAATGTATGAGTATTACTAACTCAATCCCTTTATATATAAACAATTAAGTCGAGTAAACATGAATAACAGCAAACCTCAGATTATTTTAAGAGATAACAAAAAAGTATAACTTTCTATCTATTCAAATAGAAAATTCCTGGTAGAGGACGGTTGAACATTTAAATGAGAAAGGATATAGATTTGAAAAAATATATATCAGCAGTTGATTATATGAAAAAAATAAAATAGGACTCTAGAATTGTTTTTATTTTCCAACAAGCAACAGTGGAAAAGTAACAAAAATAGTGAAAGATCAAATGGCAAAAAACAAACAAAATTGAATAATACAAGAAATCTTCCTAGTAAATAGGTGAATATTCTATCAATTTAGGAGCCCATTGAGTTAGTGATTTATTCCATTTATTAGAAAATACACTTTGGCAAAGACTTCGATCACGTTCATCAGACCAACCACCATTAACTCGTTGTTTAAGAACTTCAGTATGTATTTTTTCTGATAAATGTAGAGACGTTGGATATAATTTGGTCAATAGTGGTCCACTAAACATTTGTAAAATATTTGTTGCTAATAATTCTGTTGAGCAAATATTTTTGTGATGATGAAGACCTCGGCTAATAAAGTAATTAAAAATAGTAGTGGTATATTTAAATAGTGCTATAAGCTTAATTCATAATATAATTTAACCATTAACTAAACTATTTCACGATGGATATTTCTAAAAAGTATAAGTTACTGGTAAACCAACATGATATATTGTACAGTAAAAAAAAGGATTAGTGGTAGTTTTATATTATACATCCCATGAATAATGAAATTCTACGTATATACTATACAAATGAAACCAAAAAAAGAGTGGAGTAGGGTCAAGAAAGTTCTACACTAAATTCATAAATATACTGAAGCGTTTTTATGTTGAAGTAGTGGAATTGACAATTGTTGCATTTGCCTCCTATGATAATAATTGTACGCATGTGGGTTATTAAGTAAGCCAACTAACTGGTAATTGGTTTTTAACTGACACATTACGGTCAATACATGTTAACAACTTGTTACTGCGTAATGATTATAGACCTTTCAATCACACAAACATTGGGTAACATCAACTACAGAAACGGGTGATTTAAGTCGAATGCTGGACTTTGTTAGGATAGATTATAGCATATGGCCAGAAGTTGGGGATTGAGGTTTATTATGGTATAAGTGAGTGGTTGCTTATATGTGTAAATAGATGAAATTTGATCATTAGACAGTCGATTGTTTAGTGTACATTTTCAGCTTATTATTGATATGGTGAAGATTTCCGATCGCATCCTTTCTTATAATAGGGGATATTGGTGCTCGGGTGACTACTTTTTAGTGTTGTCGAGTTCTCTGAACTAAATGGTTTAATTGCAGAGCTTTTATTATCGTTCTGCATAAAATGAGCGATTACTTCATGCCGGAGTAATTTATTCGAAAAAGGCCAACCAACAACATGATCAGAGGCTAAAGAAACACCAAGACAAGTAAAGACGATGAAGCCTACGAAGAAAATCAACCACAAATAAGGCTACTAGAACAAACTTATTTAGCACTTTTAGAATAACTAAGAAGCTCAATTCTACATAAAGTAGGCACTGATGATGCTCAGAACAACAGTGAAAGCTCAATAATTTGACTGTCTACCTCAGAATATCAAAAGTACTGAGTCTATTTTGTCAATAGAATATATAATATTTCCGGTTGGATAATTAACATAACTGAAAATAAATATACCTAGCTAGTGATATGAAAACTAATGCTGAATCACTGTTGAAGCAAAATTTCTTTCTATCCAAATATGATACGTAGAATTAATTATCTCATATAAGTAGTACACAACAATTTATTTTTATAAATTACAAAAGAGGAATGAAGTAACGTGATCCTGATACATTTTTACTTCATATTTTTAGATTTCCCAAAATAACTGTAGAATTTAGTTATGAACTTTTATTTCACAGTAAAAGATTTTCATAATCAGCACACTCTATTGGACTCATAAATAATCAGATTGGCAGAAAATTTAAAATATTCACTTAGTTGATTAATAACTTATGTACGGCCTAGAATAAATATGTATTAGCCAAAATTATCAAATCACATTAAAACAGTATGATAAACTTAACAAAATGGATACCAAAAGAGTCAAAATAATGCAGTAGCAATTTGAATTACTAAGCGTTAAGATTAGAATTCGATAAGGTATGTGTACAAAGAAATATTGAAACTCAAGATGTAGAGTAAGATAAATAGTGAATGTATTCACTTTACTGTATAAGATTCTGAGTTATGTTGCTCATAATCTTTAACCATTGATCACAGTGATTGAATGGACACCAATCAGATAGTTTACATCTACCAAAAAATAAAATTCAAATAACAACCAATTATTTGTTGGATTCGTATCACGTATCAACTTGGTCATTTGCAGCTACTTTCCAACTTATTTCTACTTCAAGTAAAACTACACACCTCAAGGTTACCAGTGACTAAGTATATAACTCAGTTGCTATTCTGATTTACTAATCATTATTATTGAATAAAATTCATTTCTATATGAATATTTACAATTCTGTTTATATAATTTTAATTCGTATATTAACAATGTCATATAATTTTATTTCTAATTGTCAATATTGTCTCACTTAAATACACTTAGTGTAATATGACTTCTATTTGAACTTCAAACAATAGTTGTCTGGTCTATTAATCGATATATTAAAATGCTCTAATACTTTATGCAGTGTGTAAGTATTGTTTATTCCATTTTTTTCAAAAAAATGTTTTTTAAAAAAAAATTAATTCTGCTATCGAATCGAAACTAGTAACTGGTTGAATGATGTTAGCAGTGGAGTAGTTACTTGCCAATAAAATAATATTATGATGTCAGTAAATAAGAAAATTAAATTTCTGAAGGTTGGTGTAAATCGATTTATCAAATAATAAATGACTATTTCTGTACGTTAACACAATTTTAGTAGTAGTAGTAGTAGTATGAATAATTTACATTAAATATTTAATACATACAAACAAGTTAAACCACGTGTTTATCAATCTCTCGTGATAATCATAAAGGATTGATGTAGTGTTTAAAGCATTAAACTTAATAATAATTTAACGCTTAATCGGGGGCTCATGAAGAGGAAACTGGAAAAAACCTGGCCAGTTTCAGACAAGAAAACGGTTGTACAGATCAAATATTCGCTCTTCTTCAGGTTAGGAAACACAGGCATAATTAACAACATCCAATAATAGTGATATTTATTAACTTGAATACAACTTTTGAATCCGATGGTAAAGAGGTTAGATGGTATTGTTTATCGTTAAAAGGTGTACTGATGAAGTAGACAAACTTTTTCAAGCCTCTTTATTCTAACACTAATTATTAAGTAAAAAATTATGTAGAACTGCCTTTTATTCACACTTTTTACTTAATTTCATGATAGAAATACTGTTAAAAGTAACATTTTCCTCAGTTAAATTTTCCGAGAATGATTTCCTAACGAGATGTTTAGTTATCGGCCTGCAGTGCTGTTATGGTGATTTTTAGTGATTAGACTAGACGGAATTTACGATTATTGAAATCACTAAATACAATGCCAATAGATAGATGGACACAACAATATGATGCCACCGAGTGATGGCTATTCACAAGACCGTATTATTGACTAGAGCCCTCGAATGATTAGATATCAAAGACGAAACAACTAACCAGATGAATTTCTTCTTTGTGTCACAAAATAATCTAGTTATGTTCAGAATACAGATAAAGTATTCAAGACCAAATATCGTAGACGATTAAAGGACATTAGGTAGCAGGTCACTCAATCCCCAATAAATTAAAGACGTTGTGGTGTGGGTTACTTATATCCACACAAGTAGTATATAACGGTGGTCAGGCATAGAATGTATTTCAGTAGAAGGTCGATGAGGAAAGAACGAGAGCGGAACGCAATTGGTATGAAAACGCATGAACAATGAAATCTGAGGCAATGGATTGATGTTTGCAACAGGAACAGTCAAGTTTGATATGATGGATTGATATTTTGCAAATGAACGATTTACTATATAGTTCTCAGATTTTATTGAGATGCTCTGTAATTTCGTGTCAAATACATTCGATTGTCCCCACCGGTGTTCTTGTTTACTACAATGTGACTGTTAGGCCTAACTTTTAGACATCGTATAAAATGCACGGATGACATAATCCTGTTCGGTGAATATTCCGAAATAATGCACAAGCCTTCTGATTCAACCATTCTGGCGAAACGTTTCCCTCCTTTGAAAATGCAAAATGGTGCTTAGAGAATGGTCTGCATCATCGACTATATGGATCGTAGGGAGCATACATTGACCATTTCACTTATCTTGAAAGTCTCATCATCCCTGGTGGGCTGACTTCCGAAGAAATCTCGGCGAAGACTCAGAAAAGCCACATGGCCTTCCCAACTATAATCAACTACGGCATAGGTGAGATAACCGCCCATCAACGAAGAGAGTAAAACACCCTATTTCACTTTATGGCTATTGAACGTGGCCTTTGAAAATAGAAAACATTCGTAGGTTAGTAATATTTAATTATATATGTCTTTTAAGTGTTCCTCATGTATGTTGGAACTACTAAGTGTGAAAAGCTGTTAAACGCAAGGTGCAAGGAAAACGTTGTAAAGCTGTTATTCAACTTATGAATCTTCACCAACTGAGGTGGATGGATTGTGTATTACATATGCCTAACAAATGTTTACCTAGCCTTCCGATGTTCGCTGAGACAAGAGTGGGTTGTTCATTCACAGATTCTGAGCCACAACAACAACAACAACTACTACTAATACTAATACTACTTTGGCATTCATCTTGATAACTTCGTTTCTTTATAGCAACTTAGAGTGATACACATATGTCAGATTCTATTCTGTTTACGAGTGATTGAATTTCTCTTAGATCAATGGTAAGAAGATTTTGTGTATTTATATGGATTGATGTGAATAACTGTGACATTTATAATAACGTGATTAAATCTCAAAAACTGGTCAACTGAAAATTTTTACTCAAACAAGCAATACGCTTATACATATTTTAGTAAACGTGCGAGGTCAATGTTCACTATGTTTGAGCTATAAAACGTGATTTTCATTTCAGTAATATTAAATTATCTAAACGTGTCTTCTATAAACAGAACGTTATAGCGCATTCTAAATTATCAAATTAAAAAGGCAAATAAAGTGAAGATTAAATCTTGAAATCAAACCCTCAATGAAAAATATGCTCGCACATGCAACACCATTCATTAAGTGAATGGAACAACCCTCGAAAATGCTTGATACTCCACACATATTAAACACTAAAAAACGGGTGAGCTGAGAATTGATAGATACATACACATATCCTATCGTTTATATATATAAACTAATAACGAAAAGAACTGTTGCAAAACATTACTACTAACCATTCACCCAAATGAAAGACACGAGTAGAAAGGGGTAGAGTCAAGGCCTTCAGTTTGCCTGGGAAACAATTTTGACCAATATACTGTAAACTCCAGTCCCAATTATAATCATCATAAAGACAGAATAACTGAAAGAGAAAAAGAAACATAAATGAGTTATTAATCTCAGCACGGGTAATTTGACACATTTAAAAAACAATACTTGTAAACTTAATAAATCACAGATCAGACTGTTAGGGTGTTAACATTTCATCATAGGAAAATCTTACTAAAATATAATATCAATTTCTTAGAGAAGTGTTCAGAACTGAATTAGTAGGGTTTAAATATTTTTTCATTATGTTTGTTCAAAATACGGAACAAATCTATAAGTTAGTTTAAACTCATATTGATCGAGTCACAAATAACAATAAATTGATGTAGTGAGTCAACCGACCAAGTGTATTTATGAAAACATGAAAATATAACAACCTGAGTCCACTTTGCAACTCTCGGAAAATAATCAGTAAGGTAGTCTCTGAGACAATATAATTTAACAGTCATAATTATACGTGTCCTTAATCTTACTTATCAAAATAAGTTAAGTTTACAAAATTTTAAAGTGCGATTAAAGATTTTATATTTCTTACTGGTAACAGTGAAACTAAGAATTTACAAATAAACACTAACAGAGTAAAAAAGGTTACCATTTGAGTGTACTTACTTACTTAAGCGTGTTATGAGGTGGAGTTGCTAAAGCTACTTCCGACTCTTCCTTTTTACCCGGGCTTTGGATTGGCAGTAACCCTTAGGGTGCTCAAGGTAATGTTACTACTTTGTTACTGATAGTTATTCTTTAACATTTTGTAAAGTTAGTTAGAAAAAGGCGAATGTGTTGGCTGATTTATGCTTAAAACTATATCAGTAAGTGTATTGCTCTAACGGGGTGAATATTCATGAATGCTGAACTTCCAGAACTGTTCTATCGAAAATTATTGTATCTTTGTATTCTCTTATTTATAAGCTTTCATCGGACGCATAAACTATTGCTGAATGTATTTTATCTTCCTCAAGTTATTGTTAATTAATTATGTACCTATCACATAGTTGTCTTTCATTTTTTTGACGTAGTTATGCTTATAATGTAATATTTCGTAATTATAATTGATCCGTCACTTGGAATCCTCAAGGCTAAAGGAAAAGAGGAAAACCAAAGAACACATTTCGCTGAGAAATGAAGACAGATATGAGAAGAAGGAATAAGAATTGGATAGAACTAGAAAAAAAGGCCCAAGACAGAGTGGGTCGGAAAATGCTGGTAGATGGTCTATGCTCCACTGAGAGTAACAGGCGTACGTAAGTTAGTAATAATTGATCCGGGGGTTAAGATTTTACTCGATATTATTTTTATGAGCCGGGTAATGGGGTTAAACTACATATAATTAAGAGTTGTCCATCTACTGCGTTATGTCCTATTCCAGCTATCAGGTGAACAAGCATGAGAGAATGATATTCTGGACCAATAATCAAAAATTATTATTTGCCAAAAATAACCAAAAAGTAAATTTTATTTACTGATTTTTCCTAAATTATTATTGATTTATGAAAGTTTAAACTCTTAATCAATGAACAATGTTAGATTTATTAAAAATACTGAACATTAATAAAATAAAAACATTTACAATGTTTTACCATGGTTACCTATAATTATTTTTAAACACTTATTAGAAATTTTAACAGCTTGGAATCTATTATTATCTAAATTATACGCTAAAATAATTAGTATCAGAAGGGGCTTTTGCGGACATTATAGTAATTTCAATAGTTGAGATAATGAGTCAATTGAAGCTAGACCACCATGGAAAACCAACAAGCACTGAACGGCCGTTTCGTTCTGTTGTAGTACTTTTCAGCAATGATTTAGAGGTAAAGCGTTCGCGTGCGAAACCAATAGGTCTTGGGTTCGAATCTCGCGAGGCAGGATCGTGAATACACACTGCTGAGGAAACCCACAATAGGATGAAACGGTCTTCCAGTACTTCCAGATTTTCCATGATGATCTAGTTTCAATCGACTCATGATCTGAACTATTAAAAATTATTAAATGAAAAATCATTTTCTTATTGTGAATTTTCCAGGTTCATTAGTTTTAACGTACAATACGTTTTATTGTAATTAAAAAAACTTGTAATTATCAACAAGAAATTTATCATTCTTATAACCAATGAATAGTTGATAATTTATTCCATTTAATTTAACATAACACACATATTTAAATGTTTCAATTTACAGAGAAATTTATATGCAAATAAACTTCGATAAATTGATTGTTGTTAGGATGATTGAAAAATCAAAAAAAAAAATAAAAGAAATACAACCCACATCACTTTGACGATCAATTTTCATCTCTCTCTATTTTTATAATATAGATGAATCAATAAGAAAATCGATTCGAATTTTTATTGTAATAGCTATTACCAACTAATATGATATGGTGCTCGAATAGAATTAATGTTATGGTTTTTTTTCTTTAGTTTTATATTTTATTATAAAATAATTGGACTGTCTCAGAAAATCTTGTTTTGTATTAAAATAAAATTTAACAACCAATCGGAACTATTTATACTAGAGTGATATTAACTAGTCGGATTACAACAATTCATTCACTGTTTAACAGTCAGTTAAACAAACAATATGCCCCCAAATGCCCTGGTACAACCGAGAGTGGAGAGAGTCAGCTCTCCATCTCGAAATGCTCTCATATGGCCACGCGCAAACAACCACTGCCAGGGAAGTCCTACTCACTACCTTCTCGCCGGATTACTGTTGTTTACAAAATTCAAACGATGAAAAGTGAATGTCTGGCGCTCTAACAGGGTCGGTGAACACGGAGAGTCCACCTAGGGGAGTTGGGAAACCCTCATTCCAAACCAATGGTGTATATGGGCTCTAGTATCCTGAGGGAACAAATGGCATATGAACCGATCGTTGGTCACCGGCTACCATGAGACTGACATTGCTCCACTACGTTGTGGATCAGACCTTTAGGTCGAAGGCTCCGGGTGAGGTCCCTTAAGAAAACCACCTGCTTTGGTGTGCGCACCCGCGCAGTATCACAGCCCTCACATAAATCAAATGAGATTTGTGTGACACATATATATCTAGTGCCTCTTTGTACGAATATCTATGTGTTCAAATAAATAAATAAATAATAAACAAACAATATGCTCCTCCTTATTACATGAGTACAAATTTCGAAAAAGACAAACAGGTTAACCAATTCACCTATTTGTAAATATTTATAATTATTTCTTTAAATTTTTTATCAGTAGAGATTAAGAATTTCAACCACCGGCGGACAGATATCAGTCAAGATTATCGAATGAGTGTACTGTATACTAGGCCAATAGTCGTTGAGTATTATTTTCGGCCGTTAATCCACCATCGTGTCCTTAGTTAGTAGAACGTCATCGGTATTGTATGAACAATCTAATCAATACTCGGACTATAGCATATAACTGCTCGCCTGTAATTACCATCTAATTGCACGGAGCCTCAACATAACTCAAGCATATGTTTTTGTTTACTGTCATATCATGAATACAACGTTTTAGAATTTTCAAATTTGTGCAATTATCAAGGCGTCAAGTAAAGCCAAGACTGCTAGATTGTAAAATAGAAACAGAATTCGATCCCACAATTAGTCGTTTAGATAATTGGAAATTACAAATACAGGAATGTTTAGCTTAAAAACACAAAGAGAAATCTTTGAATAAATTCGATAGTGACCGTGTATATATATTAAAAATACATATTTCTAAAAGTACGGTATGTAAATACATTGATGTCACGTAAAGCGAAAAAATGTTCTATTATCAATATTTCACATAACTCACGTTCAAGCATTGTTCAATATTTTTCCATACAGTACGAGATACAGCCATACCCATATTGTGTTTCGGCGCAAGCCAGTAAGTTTGTTCAACCTAGAAAAATAAAAACAAATACTAATGTAATTTACACGCTTACATGATTAGTGTAATTTTGAAGTTGATAATACTTAAAAGTATTAAACAGGGTTTAGTACTGTAGATACTATGAGATCTACATTACTAATATTTTAAAACGGTAGAAAAGGAGTTTCAGTAGTAGAATTTTGATCAATGTTAGACCACCATTGAAGATCTGGAAGCACTGGACGACCGTTTTGTCCTAATGTAGGGCTCCTCAACAGTGCGCACCCACTGAGCCACCAACCAACGATTTGATGGCAGTGATCTCGAATCTTCAGAATAGGGTTTAAGTATCATAAACAAAAGTTTGAGCGATTCATGATTAAGTTAATCAACTTGGAAAAAAAATCGCTAAAAATCATCGATAGCCTATACGGCGACAAATTACAGAACTAATGCTGAAGTTACATAACTGTTTGATTTTCCAAACAATACATACAAACTGAAAAAAAATTTATTGCCTTATCTGCATTAAGTGAATTAAAGACTGTGACTGTCTTTGGAAGCTGGGTTTTTTTTAATTGAGTGGCTTAATCGTGAAGCAGGTAGACTCAAAGATGAAGTTTTGTTTTCTGAAAGAAGGAAGGAGCTGGGGAGATCCAGTCAGCTTTGAGTAGAAGCTTCTCAGAAACACCCAGAAAGTAGAGTCATATTTTTGACTGGATGATTACCTGTGCTGACACTATATTTAGTATGGTCCCAAAACCTCCCAAAGCCATCTGAAATACTATAAATACCCTCGACTTCGTGTACATGAAGTAACCTTGGAGTAAATTGTCCCTTTCACACTTCGTGCCTTTACTCTCGTGCTCAAGTTGTCGTGTAGATTCAGCCTAGGGTTATTACAAGAGCTTGGTAAGCCGATTCAGCCGTTCAGTTGGAAGACTTATCACTAACAACTGAAAGTGTATAATAAACATTAAAAAATAACACGATCATTGAGAAAATGGTTGCAAGTTTACAACTACTATGAAAATCGTGTAGAGAATTTATGGCATTAATTACATTCATCAACAAATTTGTAAAAAAATAAAGTGGCTGACGATTTAGTGAGTTTTAATATTAGTACAAACTAATTTAATATCTGACATATATATAACCAAAAAAAATACTGAAACGAATAGACTACTTAAAAGCTGATATCCATACCGTTAGTTCAAGTGATTATAAATGATACCCTCATCTCCGTTAGTACACACAGTACAGTCAAGTATGAATACTATAGTCAACAGTGCATATATATATATATATATATATATATATATATATATATATATATATATTCATATATATATATCCCATTTTCCTTATATTTGGTATAGATTTTGTAAACCATTGTGAAGTGATGTTTTAGGGATAATAAAATATTTAATTTGGACAATAAACTTATTGTAACTGCTACTGAAACTCCACTTGAGGCCATTCTAGGGTTATTACCGATCCCAAGTTAGAATAAAAGAGGGGGGTCAGGCATACAGTTAGCAAAAACTTGAGGATAAGATAGAAAGAAAAGTCAAAATTCGATTGATTTACTCATTATGAGTTTTGTTCAACATTACTTCCGTTTACATTCAATGTAATGATTACTCAATGTATTATTTGTTTCCTTTTATCGTATGATATCTTATTCTGTATAACATACGGCATTCTTGTATTAAGTTAACATGAACTATGCTCAGTATGTGATTTGTTAAACATGTGATTTCACCCTAATTATTAATCAAAATGGGTGTACAATCAATGTATAAATGAATGTATTTTCGACTAGAGCCGTCGTCATGTTTTGAGGTCAATAAATCTTCACTTATACCAGTCTTTGTGTTCTTACGTTCGCGTCGTGGGAATTGAGGAGGTCCCTCGTTCCGAGTATAAGTGATAAGCGTTTCCGACATAACAATCAGCGACGACCAGATATAACAAGTAGCATTCGAACGACAAGACATAACACTTTGCCACAATGCTAACCGGAAAAATACTATTTCAAGCATTTGAACAATGCCCTGAAAGTTGAAGGATCTTCATTTAAGAGTTATGACACCTAATGATGAAAGCCGAGGGTTGTTTTGGAAATTACGGAGCTAACGCTCCTTCTAACAACCAGAGCAACAATTAATATGCGTATACTGGATGTTCGCATAAAGTGGAGGACCATTTAAATAGCTACAGAAATCAGAAGATACACCTTGGCGGGGTTGGGAATAAGTGAAAATCATAGGATGCAAGCTGGACAGAACAGACTAGCGTCGGGAGAGGTGCTACTGTACTCTGGTTGTGAAGAATAAAATGTCTCGCGCACACAAGGAGTTGGACTTATTGATGTCCAGAGAACTGAGAAAAACATCTATAGAATGGGAATCTCATGGATGCAGCATCATCTGAGCATAATTCGGAACAAAGGAAGGAAGGGATTACAACGAATGTTATCCAGTGCTTTGTGCCCACCGATGATAGCAACGAAGACGATAAAGATCAGTTTTGTGAGGCTGCAGTTGATCGTAGAGAAACACCCGGGAAAGGAGCTGATCAATCTGATCGGAAACCTAAACGCCAAAGTCGAAATGGACAACAATAGGTATGAAGATATCATGGGATAACATGGACTAAGAGAAAGGAACGGGAATGGCAAGAGATTTGTAAATTCATGTGCTTTGAACAAAATGGTTATAGATAGCACTATACTCACCCACAAACGCATACACAAAGCTACAAGGGTTCCATCAGGCCACACTACAGAGAACTGGATCGATCACATTCAGAATTTCAGAAGGTTAATGGACGGCATGAGAATAAAGAGAGAAGCTGATATGGTTTCAAATCACCATCTGCTAGTTCCAAGCCTCACAAGATTTCATCAAATAAGAGGAAACTACTATGAAGAACAACTGGGAATGGACTAAAGAAGCACAAACTTCAACATGCCAGGAGGTGTGGGGCCGCAAGAAGCATCATCATAAGGGATATATCTCTGTTCAAAACCTGAGAATGATTCAAGAAAAGGACAAAAAAAAACGACAATCGACAAAAGCCGAACAAGAACAGAGAAAGTCAAAGCATAAGCTGAATACATGGAAGCAAACAAGCAAGTGAAGAAGAGCTGACAAATTGAAATACATCGAAAGCTACAAGAGGAAATATGAAACAATTATATGACACAACGAAGAAACTGGCAGGGAAATATAATAAGCTAGAGAGACCAGTCAAAGACAAGGATTGAAAACCAATCACTGAGATTTTAGGACAGAGGAACAGATAGGTAGAACACTTTGAGAAACTCTTCATTAAACCAGATTCATTGAATCCACCAGATATCAAAGTAGCACCTATAGACATTCCTATGGCTATCAGTCCACCAACGATCGAAGTCAGGATGTTCATCAGACAAATCAAGAGTGGGAAAGCAGCATGAGCTGACAATATGCTAGCTGAAGTACTGAAGTCAGACATAGAAGTAACTGCAAAGATGCTTCACTTGCTATACAGAGATTTGGGAGGAAGAATAAGTACTGACAGACTGGAAGGAAAGATACCTCATCAAGATACCAAAGAAAGATCTTAGTAAATGTAAGAACTACATATGTATCACACTACTATCAGAATCAGGTAGTTCTCAACAGAGTGTCGCCAAACCGAATGAAAGATTTAGTAGACACCCAACTTCGAGACCAACTGACTGGGATTCATAAGGACAGATCATGTTTAGGCCAAATCGTTACAATTTAGTTCACTGTTGGGCATTCATTTAAATGGAACTCGTCACCAAACACCAACTTCCTTGACTATGGGAAAACATTTGACAATGTGGATAAAAAGACCTTATGGGACCTTCTTCGACGCTACGGGGTACCCGAGAACACTGTCAATATCATACGGAATTCTTATGATGGACTACACTGCAAAGTCGTGAATGTAAGACAGAAATACATATGCATTCCAAGTGTCGGATAAGCCTGCTTACTCTCACTCTTTCCCTTTCTTCTGGTCACTGACTGGATTATGAAGACCTCTACATATCAGGGGAAGCACGGAATACAATGGACAGCTTGGATGCAGCTAGAGGATGTGGACTTCGCAAACGACCTAGCCCTTGTATCCCAAACACAACAAAAAATGCACGAGATGAAGATAGCCAGTTTAGTAGGAGCCTCTGCAACAGTAAATCTACACATTCACAAAGGAAAAAAGATACTAAAATAAAACACAGAGAGCACCAACCACATCACAGTTGATGGGAAAATTCTGAAAGAAGTGGTAAGTTTTACGTACCTAGGCAGCATCCTTGACAAAATAGGGAGATCAGATGCAGATATGAAAGCACGGATTGGAAAAGCAAAAGAACCATTCCTATGATTGAAAAACATCTGGAAATCAAAACACCGGTCAGTCAACATCAAAGTCAGAACTTTCAATACAAACGTCATGTCAGTACGAGTGTACGGTGCTAAGACGTGGAGAACTACTACAAACATCATCAAAAAGTACAGGTATTTATAAACAGTTGTCCACAAAATAATAATAGTTAGTAAGACACAATCAGAAATAAAATACGCTGACAGAGAATAAACAAGCTTCCAGATGATTAAGAAACTAAGGAAAGATGCTGGAGGTGAATAAGTCACACTTTACGGAAATCATCAAAGTGCATCACAACACAAGGCTTAACTTGGAATTATCAGGACTAAAGGAAAAGATAGACAAAAGAATACATTGCACGGGGAATCAGAGGCGGATATCAATAGAATGAATACTACTTGGGAACAACTAAAAAACAGAGCCCAGAACAAAGTAGGCGGGAGACTTTTGATCAGTGGCCTATGCTCCACGAGAAGTAAGTGGGATAATTTAGTACGTAGCTGCTAATCATCCACCGCATACTTTTGCGCGCAGTGCTCGCTAATATAGAAGTAAATTTGAAGAGAGCCAAACCACCAGTCCATGAATTCACTGAATGTTGATCTGAGCCATGTTAGTAAGTGCAAGCTACTCGGTTAGTACCAATGCAACTGTCGTGACCAGTGGTTAGAGACAGTGAGCAGCATGGCTTACAATCAGGTGCAATGGTATAGATGCATTCATTGTTTTTTTTAAATTTTAAAATTATTCTATACCTTGTAATATGTAAATTCGTTCATTATTCTCGAATCACGTAGCTTATGTCTAATATTTTCTATACTACTGATCCCTTCGTCTCATACAAAAATAGACAAAACAGAACATTCGGGATCTATTCCAAAAATAACAGTAAAAAACTTATTAATATTATTCTCAGAAAGAAATCAGCTTATTAAATTAGATGATGGTTATTTAAAAGAAAAATAAAACACTGAAATAGATACCTTACTTACCACATCGGATAAATATTTGTTATTTTTATCGTATGATCCAAGGGAAATAATCCCATCAGTTTTTAAAGGACTTTGTAATAAAAATAAAGACAATAAAATATGATCAATTATTTTACAAACAATTGTGTCTATTGAATATAATAACATAAATAACGTACATAAGCTTGACAAAAATATTGAATAATCAAGAATAAATATATCGGAAAGAAAAATACATGAGAATGTGGAACGATGGCATCATGGTTAAGGTGTTTAGCTATCAGCTAATAAGTCCTAAGTTCGAATCTTACTCCATTAACTTCAGTCTATATTATTAAATAGTAACATTTGCCTTCATAATTACAGTGTGGTTTGTATCTAAGTAGCTGCTGAATGAGTACAAACAAAGAAGTGGGAATAAAACAGACTATATGATATTATTTTAGTATTTATTGTTTTGAATGAATATTATTTATTTGACAATAAGGTTTATGTACAGTAAACTTTTGTTAGTTACATACGTTCATTTTAGTCGTGGAAATAAAAACGTGTGATGTATGCTACTTATGTCTGTCGATATAGATAGTATATAACACAATTAGAAGTGGAATGCCTAGCAGCAAAACGTTGGGAAGATCGAATCGAAGAAAACGGGAACAGAGTAATTGTAATAGCAATGAAAGAACGATGAAGTTTTAGGCAACTGATGGAGGATTTGCAAATGAAGTATTGGATGTATGGTTTTCACATTTTACGATAGAACTCTGTAATTTTGTATTAAATAACAAACTGGTTGTCCCCACATGAGTGTTCGTTCACTACCCTTTGATGTGGACAGTTGATGGAAGATTTGCAAATGAAATATTTAATGTATGGTTCTCATATTTTACCAAGATATTCTGTAATTTTGTATTAAACAATAAATTGGTCGTCCCCACCCCAATCTCATCCATTACATAAGGACAGAGTGCACGTTTATGTACTTAATAACTGTAAAGTTGATCAATACATCATAAATGAATGATAACAGTCAATTAATTTAGATTTTTATTATTTTCAACCCCAGAGAACAATGAGTATCGTGTTGGTTAACAACATTAAGATACTCATATCTCTACATTTATAAAGTAGTTGATATATATATATATATATATATATATATATATATATATATACAGAGAGAGAGAGAGAGGACCAAAGTCTGATGCTTAAAAGGAAGAGAAATTTCTAAACTATTTGAAGAGCTTTTTTGAAGACTGATTTAAATTTGTACGTAGTATTCAACTCACATTGATTACATTTATTGTATCATTGAAAAGTATGGAGAAATTAATATTTGTTTGCTATTAATATGAAACTATTCAGTAGTGTGCAGGTACAACCCTAGGACCTGCAGGTTCCACACTGAACGTCGAAATCACTAGAACTACTGGATTAGAGTCCGATGGTACAATCCCAAATGCTGTCGATTTGTGTAATGACCATTCAATATCATTAACGACAAATGTTTCGCTACCGACTTGTCTGAACTCTACTCGTCACAATTTCTCACTAGAAAAATCCCGAGAACACCATGAAGTCACTAAGGAGTTGATTATAATTCTAGCAGTATAGGGTTGTGGAGGTTGTTGGATTTAACTAGAATTACGAGTCGAAATAAGTTAGACAATCGCTGAAAAACCGAAAACACAGAACGGTTGTTTCATCCTACTACGAGACTCCTTAGCAGTGCACATCCACAACCACGCCACCAGGGATCGAATCCAGGAAGTTATCGACTCCAAAGGTGGCTCTGACTAGACAAATAGTGTTCGAGTAGAGATCCTGTACATGGTTGATGTACTTCTTTGGTAAGCCTCTTAGAGAAAGACAATGACATAAAACCCCACGATCAACAGAGTCAAATGTTATCTTAAGATCAAGAAAGACAAACGTTATCAGATGTAAAAAATGTATCTGAGTTCAGGACCTATCGAAGACTGAATATTTAGTCTATACATCCACGTTCAGGCCTAAAATCAGCTTGGTTTTTTCGATTTTACTCTTTGCGAGCTCTCGTTAAGAGTTGGCATGTTTTTGAAGTTAATATTTTAGATACTGTATTGATCAAATTGTCTTGTCTGTGATTGATACGATAGGATTTTTTTCTCTTCTTGGGATGATCAGCGATCTAGACCAGAGTATATATATATATATATATATATATATATATATATATATATATATATATTCATTTGTAATGACTTTTAAAACTTACCTCCAAACATTTTTACTAATAAATTCCGATACATGTAAAATATCTTCCACAACAAAATGATCATCTTCTAATAAGATGAAGTAACCCGTATAATATTTTGTTGGATAAAAATGATTCATTACGAATTCAATCTAAAGTATTTGTTTAAAAGAAAAGCAGACATATTAAAAATGTTATAAACATTCATTTTTTTAAACAAAAAATAGTTATGAATTACATTTAGTTATATAATCAATAATGAGTACATTAATAGATACTATATTGGTTGATCTTTAAAATGATTAAATATGTATACATCTAAACATTTAAAATAATGTCACTAAGTTAATAAGAACAAGAAGTTTTGGAAATAATTGTTCATCGAACAATAATCGCTGTAACATATTGACCAAACGCAGATTCATGTACTCAAGGTTCTGAGTTACATTTTATGTATATAAGGATTAATGATACCATTTGGCTGATCAAATTGAAGTAGGTGAAACTAGGCACAAACACTTACCAACCTAACTGGTTGAACATTTTAACCACTCAACAAATTGTTCTACCACCAACAATAGTAACTATTAATTACTATATTTGTAATATCCTAATGAGTACGAAAATTAAATTTTCTGACGTTTCGTGACTCAGCGTAAGCCACTTCACATAATATTCTTGTTGTTCCGTTGTACTATTTAAACTTGGATTAATTATAATTTGGTTATTTACTCTCTGAAGAAATGGTTTACACTGAGTCAAGAAACGTCAGAAAATTTAATTTTTCTACTCTTTGGGATATATTACAAATATATTAATTAATTTATAACAATCTACCTAATGCTCAATTTATTCGAAATTGTCAAGTCAAACCTTTGTAATGATGCCTACAATAGTATTATTTAGACGATTATGTTATGGTGATTAGCTTAATGCGAATATGGTTTTCATTAAAGATTGGTGGTAACTGAAGAATCATTGTCAGTCATCGAGTATTAGATTTTAACTTCAAAGTGTAAAAGGTCAAAGATGTTCGATTCTTTAAAAAAAGGTTGAACATTACCCTGGCTTTGGCGTATTCATAACTCACACTGATAACCTTAGTATGTTTGAAGAGAAATGATTTAATCAAGTTGCTGTTTCCATAAATACTTTTTCATATCTTGTGAAATTCTTGAGAGCTTTTGTGCTGAGAATTCTATATATATAATTCACTAGTTACATCAAAAATCCTAATATCTTAGTTTGGGAATTTATACACTTTTTTAACACATACCATTGTTATTAATGGTAAAATATGAAATGAATATTTGAGGAAAAAACAAGGCTAAAACAGTATCCGATTTTTTCTATTACCATGGTAACCAGTGTCCTCATCACAAATGAAGTCAGGTTACCTTATTTTTCCTAAACTTCTTGCTTTTTTTCTTCAAAAAATAGTGAACTGTAATCTTATAATGTACCTTGACAAAATAATAGGTTAATGAAATTCTATACGTATAAGAGCTTACTTTTTATCTTCTGAACATTTTGTATTTAGTTTCTAATTAATAAACGACCATGAACAACCTATTTAATAGATCAGCTATAATTAGTAGTTAATTTAAGTTTATTTGACTGAAACATTTTATGAATCATTCCGTTTAGAATCTTTCCATCAGAAACCAATTGGGTTAACCAACTTTTTAACAAGTCAGTATCTAATATACAATAATTATAACAATAAAGTTTTCAGTATTGTGAACAAGTCAAATCTTATTTTTGGTAGAATGATTAGTTAGTGAATTGTGAAGAAATCTTTATTACTTCACTTTTTAAATTAAGTACTGAATATGTTAAGAAACAATGAAAGCTTCAGATAGTCAGTCAGTTTCAGTAACGCTGAGAATGGCACAGATGTGTTTCCCCAAGCCACTATAGTACTATAGAACGACGAGGTGAAAATCACAAAACGAATAGTACAAGCGATCAAAATAATATGGTGGCAATGATGACGAGGAAGAATAAATAGCCGCAATATGTATCGAAAAGACAGTGTAAAAATATGGAGAAATACAGGAAATCAAAATAGAGAAGATAAGGAGTGCAGATTAGCGTCCGAAAAAGTATAATTTTGTCAGTTATCATTACCAAGGTTTGACTTGATAATTTCCAATAGGTTTAGCATTAGGTAAATTGTTATAAATAAAGTTAATATATTTATATAAGTTTGTCGGATAAATCTGATTGATAATAATCCCAGATGATAAAATAATGAAAATAAACACCCTGTAATGAATAAAACATTTGTTGTATTGCAGTTTTTCGAAAAACTGGAGAAGTTCGATGCTAAGAGATTCAATAGTCTTCAGTTTGTATGTTGCAGGTGTTTCAAAGTGAGAAATATTTGCTGCTTGCTTTCAAAGTTTCGCCTACTACCCTAAGTTCTACTTTAATTTGCTTTCCTTTATCTTCAGATGTAAATGATTTGGAATGTGTTCTTTATTAAGCTCAGTAGACGACCATATGTTATCATCATATCGGATGACAACAATAAACTGAAGAAAATAGAGTGGGGGGAAATATTAAGGAAGCTTGAAGTTAACTAGCAACTAAATGGTACACTAAAACAATCAATTTTGGTGTTTGGAACATTGAATTATGACTGTGTTATAGAAACTAATAACATATTATTCTGCTGAAAATAAAGAACTAGGTAAAATAACAATTAGGTTAGGACTCTATGTTTAAAAATCTAGTACAAAAGAAATGAAATCACTACTTTAAGAAGTTAAAGAGTCAGCTAGTCGTGTTATGTAGAACCTGGTATATAGGTGCATCGGTTTGTGTTGACATTACACATTATTACACCGAGCTAGAATTATTAAGATGAACATTAAAGAGGTATTATTAGTGGTAGTAAAAAATTATCAAGAAAATGATTCGAGAAGAATAAATTAATTAGTGAAACAAAAATAATTTTGGAACTCAGGGTCTAAGAAAATACAAAGAATGAATGCATCTTAGCCATCTCATCTAACGTCTCCAACTGTTAGGGTCCCAATAATCGCATGGACCCATCAATCAACTAGCCTACGCCGACCAACATGTATCAAATAAAGTCAATGACTGCATCAACCGACGATACATTTTAGTTTAGGTACCTGTATCTTTCTCTAGATCTACTCTTACCTTGGTTAATATTGCGGGGTTGTGCGTAACATGTGTCCCAACTACTTCACTCGGAGAAGATCCAAAAGCTTACTAACAGTTTTATCAGTTTTGCATAGTACCTTAAGCCTAATATCAGCATCGTCTACTAATAAATTCAAAACATAGACACAATAATGAAACTAAATTAATAACGGAAACTATTGAAGTTATCTTAGATAATAAACTTATACAATCCCCGGAAGATTTTAGACAGTATCCTTTAGCTTCCATTTCCGTAACTCTTTCATGAAATCTTATAATTATTTACTTATAATTAGACTGTAATAAGAGAGAAAACTGTGGCAATAATCATCACCTTTGTGAATTTGTGAATGATTTAAAAACATCGGAAACGTGAAAACTTTAGACGTATAGGAAACATACAGTAATCAATACACGAAAAGACAGCAACTAACTGAAATAGTACAAATGCATGCATACAACTACTGGATGAACTAAATAAGAATCAATTTCCGACTGCTAATAAATAAGAATATAATTCTTACTAAAAAAGAGAACGACATGAATCAATTCACATTTTTCAACAGTATCGACGTCACTCAACGAGAAACTACAATACAGAATAGAATGGACAACTGTTTCGCTACACATTGGGTACATAAGCGTATGAGTATCCTGAAAGTTAAATCAAGAGAAATTATCCAAACTTAACAGAAACCACTACGAATTTATGTTGTCAAAGTCCCCAACTGAAAACTCAGTACAAAAGTCAGGAGGACTTACTTTCCACAACCAATGATGCTTAATTTGAGTAAAATGTGATTCACGATAATGCTGAAATGTGTCTGGCCAACGAGCATTTAAACATTCTATATTTCTAGCTCTGAAAAAAAGTATAAACGACAAAATTACGCATATATATATCATGTTTTCTACTGTTTTCGACACTATTTGAGGTGCTTCCGCTTACATACTTACTTACTTACTTAAGCCTGTTACTCCCAATGGAGCATAGGCCGCCGACCAGCATTCTCCAACCCACTCTGTCCTGGGCCTTCTTTTCTAGTTCCATCCAATTCTTGTTCATTTTTCGCATATCTATCTCCATTTCTCGGCGTAATGTATTCTTTGGTCTTCCTCTCCTCCTTCGGCCTTGAGGATTCCATTCCGCTTACATGATTACAGCTAATCTAATAAATCCAATCCTATGTTGTAACTCAGTAAGAGAGAATAACAACAACCCTCACCTTCCTATTGCTACCATAATAAAAATACGTTGAATCTGTTCCACACAAGAACAAAGCAATTACTCAGTTCTCCCTAGTTTTTGACCGTTTCTAGTTGAATTCAGAGCATGACATAAACTAAATATTAGTTTACTTTACAAGGCTCGTATGCATAGTTTCTTTTATAATCTTGAAAAGCATAAGAACAATGACTTGAGAAGAGTAACTGTGGTATTTGTACAAACTAATGATTGCTATGTACGAATTCGAAATATGATACGTTCGTTTATGCTCATCTAGTTCCCTCTGTTTAAAATGGACTATTTGGGGTACTCTTAGTTAGCATGTTAATTCGAATACTTCTAATTATCATAGCAACATGAATTTAGTTTATTCTGTTCGGTTCTCGTCATCTATAGTTTTGTAAACTTAACTATGTATGGGAGTTAACATACGTATACTAGTGAAGTTGAGTGGAAGTGAATATGCAGTATCGTGGTGAAGTAAAGATTTAAATACAGTTCGTAAGATTAAGAATAACTTAACAAATAAATAAAATATTCAAGAGTATTGAAATGGTAACCAAATATTACACAGCTAACATGTTAGTTGATTAAGTAATCAGGTAACTGAACACATTTGAATAGAAATTAAAAAAACGTGAGTTGAGATTAGCCAGTCAATAGTCAAGTTACAAATTTGAAAGAATTGAGAATGATGCAATTAAAATAAAAAAGATGGTTGAGAAAAGGCTTTTTGGACGGTCTTAGTAAATAAAATTATCGAAAAGAAAATATTATTCACTGAACAGTCTTTATTTTGTTTAATCACGTAATTGGTTTCTTTCTTTGGTCATTAATTGTATTTGAATATTCACTCCACCATATTATGACACATTCACTTCTAATCAACACAATCAAATGAATTAAAGTCATAGTGCTCAGATCGTTATTTCTGCTCCATAAACATCCAATATAAAGAGAACACACAAAGGCAAATAAAACATTTATTGAGTTATCGAGTTATTTCTCATGAAAACTTAAGTAGTGGCATTTCGGGAGTTACACAGCATTTCCGTTTAAACAGTCAGCCGGTATCACTAGGACGCACATAAATAGCGTGTGTGTGTGTGTGTAGCTTAAAGACGATTACATCAATCTGCATTTCGTAAATGACTGATTAAGAAAATCTTTCAACGTTATTATTATTGTTATTGACTAAATAAGCAGAACGAAGATAGTTTTGCTTTCGGAGACTTCATCTGAAGGGCTTTACGATGGTCAAAATCATGGATAATTGGAAGGATAACATCTAAAGTATAAACGAATTGACTTACTCAGTGGGTTTTATTCTACTATCACAATCTCTTGGATCAGTACCAGGAAAGGTGTTCGGAAATAGTTGCATTGAATGGGGATAAAAAATTTGAACAGTACGAGTGAAGCGAATAGATCCGATAAGGTTATTCAATTCATCAGAATAGAAATCATGTGAAAAAATAATAAGGGCTGTTTCGATTCCTTTTGTACGTCGTAGCGATTCAATTAGCAGACTTAACTCTATAGATCTATTATGAACCTGAACAGAAAATATCAGATAATTAGAAGCCACACTGATTTGATTAAATAATAATGGAACCATTGGTTGGATCACAATAAGCCAAATATAATCACTTTTATCAATTTTATTTACGGTCTATGAAAACAGGACTTGAAAAGACTAAGTTTAGTTAATGGATATTCTAAAGTATTTGAAAGCTAACTTGTCAATAGCTGTTTCAATCTCAGCATCGGTACACATTTACCAAACAAAGATAAGATTATGTATGACCGAGAGAGTAAACTGAGCTTCCAAATGGAATAAATAACATAAGTTACGCAATAACATATGATCATTTGCTGATGCTTCAATGAAATGAGCTTGATCTAAGTTCTTTCACTATTAAAGAGTCCCATGGAAACTATTTGAAACTCTAAAGTACCGTTTATTGGACGATGCTTTCTGAAAAGTGTTATCCGGCATACCTGTAAATCAATGATATAAATCTCGTACATGGTTGAAGAAACAACATTACTTCATAAAGTGACGTGAAAACTAAACCTAAAAATAAACTGAGGACAAACTAACAGTGCTGCGCTTGCTAAGAAACAACTGATCTCGGTGACTACAGGCATAACTAGTCTACTGTTAATCCAAGAAGAAATAAATTCATAGTACTTTCTTTTAGTAAGATAAGTCAGTCTTAACCAGGTTAAAAAACAGCTTTTATGATTGACTATGCCTATGAACTTATCTAAACTCGGAATCCTTGTTTCTTCCAACATAAAAATACCAATTAATAAGACATTCATACCTAGATCATACTGACATGAATTACAATGAGTAATTATATTCATCGTCACATATATGTCAGAAAACGACGATCGAACTATCTGAATTTTTAAAACATTTATTCAACCATTGGTTTTTATTTAAATACTATTTCATTTATCGCAACTAGTTTATCAAATAGAAATTGGTGTGGAGGCTAGTAATAATACTACTCGGTTATTTGTTTAAATTTCAATAACTTATTTATTATCTACATCCAACAAAAAAACCACTGCATCTCTATTACATAAGTAACTGGTGGTTGTTTGAACAGCCGCATGCTGAGATTTCTACTATAGATTAATATATAGGGTAGTGTCGCACAACTGTTAAACATGATCTTATCATACATATAAACAAGTCATCTGACCACTATGAGCAAGCGTTTTCTAATTAAAAAACCATTATATTTAAACTATCTTCGTGTTGTGTTCACAAAACTGAACGGTCTAATCATGAAGCTTTCATTGTCTTTTCAAATAACACCAATGGTACATAATTTAAAAATGAGTTTACTATTATTTATTTGAACACAAATATTGGTATAAAGGGGCACCAAATACATATGCGCAACACAATAACAATGAGAATGTAACGAGATAGAGAATGTGGGGTCCTTATCAGAAAAAATAGACCTCCCCGTGTCCACCAACCCGATTAAAGCGCCAGACATTCGCTTTTCGTCCTCTCAATTTCCTAAATAACACCCATGTTGCGAGAAGGCAGTGAGTGGGACTTCCCTGGTAGTGGATGTATATGCGTGGCCATGTGAGAGCATTTCGAGAAGGAGAGTGGACTCTTTCCACCCTCGGCCGTACCAGGGCATTATTTATAATTAGTTAACAGCTTGTTTAGCTAACAAGAAATGTTATTAGATGCCCTCCATAATTGTTCTATCATTAATCACACATTTATTATGACTGTCTTCTCTGATAGTTAGAACTCTTTAGCTGACTGTCTTTTTGTATTAAGCAGCAAGGTCAACCAAACCGTTCAGCCCAGGGGACGCAAGACCCACAAAATAATGCTTGGGTTGCAAACCATTGCTATCAAACCAAACCATAAATTAAATTTCAAGGTGAGAAAAATATCAATCTCAGTTTTTTTCACTTGAGTATCACTATGAAAACATTGATTCGATTGCATTTGTTTCGTATGAAATAAAAACTAAAACTTTTATTAAATATAAACCACTTATCAGCCTACTTGTATTATTATAACATGTTTAGGAGAGGATGTTGTAGAGTTAAAATTATCTCTTGTTGGTAGTTGGCCATATAGGTCTTCATTTTTTACGTATTGCACCATATTAATATTTGAAATATATTGTCGTAGATTTGGAATTGAACTGAGTGGTAATAAATGAGACAATGGACCTGAAATTTCTAATGATTTGTTTATGACAAAACGTATATCTTTAGGATGCTGAAAATGAACTGGTTCTAGCCATAAAGAATCCTGTAAAAGATTAAAATTAAATGAGTTTGTACATAAAAAGAAGCATTAAATGAGTTACTTCTAAAGGTTACAGAAGTAGTCAACACCATTTACCGGTAAACATTATGGAATGAAGTGTTTAGCCTAGTGGAGCAAAGTGTATAAGCAGGAGAAAAAGGAAAAACACTGGGCACTTTAATTCTAGAGCAAGTGACACCTTTTGGGAACGTGGTAGAAACAAAAACCGTGCCCAATCACATGATGTGTTTAAACTTAGTAAAAACGTAGCCCAGAAAATCCCTCAAATCAAGAATACCATGGAAGTAAATATTTCAAACCCTAAATGTAATGCCCAAACATAGTTTAATAATTCCTCCAATTATCGGTAGGTGAACAAACACTAAACTCAAAATCATTTCCCAACTTATACTGTCACTATTAGACCTTTTAATATCACATTCCAAACTTTGTTTAGTAGAGTTAAATGCAGGCTATGAAATAAGAGCATATACAAAGCATAGAGCACACACAGATAAGAGATAAAGTCTCCGCAGAATTCAAGAGTAACCTACTTTCTATGACCTTACAGTTTATCATGCGAAAAATACTCTGCCCACTAAATCTTCAGTTCAAGCAGTTTTTTTGTCTGTCTTCCATACGTTTATACCTACTCCTCCCCATAATCCGCCGACAGCTACGCGCTCACAGGCTGAAATCAAACACACCAATGACTAAACATTACTACACAGTCAGACATTGTCAAAGTACAAAGTTTGACAGTTTTAGGTAAGTCATTCCGCACAATATTTCAACTACAATAAGGAAATAAAAAACCGACATTAGTTATTGAGACAACTAAGTACGCTAGATAAATCCATAATCATGTTGTGATAGCTTAAATCAACATTAAAAATCACAGAAATGTGTGGATGGGAGTATTGTAACATATGACTATTTTTTAGAAAAACGGTACTATTTTAGCTAACATAATCTGTTTGACCGACATAGTAAATGTCAAATACGCCCAACTACCGCCTATGTCGACGGGCAATGCATTCTGGTGCGGGGGCGGGATGGAGAAAAGCTAGAGGAGGCCAGACCAAAATGTGGAATCAGTCCATGAGGTCGATGACAACTGAACTCAGTCATGTTAATAGGTATAGATTACCTGGCTGGGGTCCGCGGGATTATCGTAACCAATAGTTAGAGAATTTGGATGACATGCCTCAAAACTGTTTGCAGTGGGGCACATGCATTTGTTGTTTATCTCCCTCCAAAATCTGAGATTCTAAATTTCTCATACCCTTTTCCTGTTTTTAATTCACTAATTTATATTCTTTTCTCAAATCATATCTTCGATACTTAATCATTTTTATTACCGCTGATACTTTTAATAACTTATTCATTGATTTGGTCTGACGTATTTGTGCTAGTAAGGCATGGCAACTTGAACCGATGTACAGGTTCTACGTTGCGACTGAATGATTTTTATTGTTTGAGGAGTTATGTTTCAGCTATGTATTCAGTCTAATATTCATCACTCTAAAATGGTTGCAAATAAGGATATTGAAACGAACTTGAACAGTTTTTACCTTAACTTACAGCTGTTAATAAACAAATATATACAACAAGCAACATACTAACCGTATTTTAACTACGGCAATTATATTCAACGGTTAAGATATTGACCAGGAGTCCGAATTCTAGCACATAGATTAAAGTTTAAGCACAACTGCACAGCCAGAATTTTGAGGTAACTCAAAAATTACAAATACATACTAGGTACTTCGTCGAGAAGTCTTACCAGAATGACGGAAAGCTTAACAATAAATAAGAAAATCAAAATAACTTTTTGACAAAGTATACAGACTAGGTTGTCAAATAATAAAAAAAAATCCACGAAAACATGAAGTAGGACATACAGTTGGGGATAAAATTACATCTTTCCAAAGCCAAAAGACGTTAGAATGCTCATATTCTGAAAATTCTGAATATCTCCAAAATTTGCTGAGTAGTAACATTAACAACAGCACTACTAGGAGGACTGAGAGAAAGAACAAAATCTGGCGGCACATGAAGCGTGTTATTGGCAAGAAAAAGGATGTAGGGAAGCATCTGAAAAGAATGAAACTATTGATTATGAATTTTCGATAAATTTCCCTGTTAAGGAGTGGCAAATATAAAAGCAGTCAACCTACCTGACTTTGATGCGCATTGTTTGTATGTTAGTTGTTCATTTGAAAGGATTTGTGCAACAGTGCTAAAAGACAAATATACAGAAAGTAAATTTGCAGGTACAAAAAGATGAATGTTAGCGGTTCAAAATCTAAATGCGCACCACTGACGTACACTTATAAGTCCTAGGCTGCCAGTGTTTTTTAATTTGATATTTGTATTCAATATAAAAGTAGACATGGTCACAATAAACAGCTATCCAACAAAGTTTCCATTTATGTTTATTCCCCACAATGAATTCCGAATCCATGTATTGCACGTCTACTCCTCAAAGTTCAGTACATCAACTAGGTTATTTATCATATTCTCCTAACGGACAGAGCGAGTAATGTGCTACTTGACTAGAAGGATTAGAAACAACTTTTCCCGTAGCATCATAAATACCAAAGCAATTAATAAGCGCTTTATCCGATATCATGTACTACATTATCCAAAACAATTAACAATATTTATATTTCGAATATACTGAACATAAACTACAAAGATGTGGTTACGATTTCGAGCTTTGCGATATGTTTTAGCAATATATGTTGTCATGCTATAAAATCACACGAACAAAGTAAGTTACTTCCTCACCATGTAACTCGACCTATATTAATATAAGCCACAGGCAGAGACTAACATCTTCCTTTTATTATTTTGTCCTTATGGATATAAAAGGTTAACAAAAAGTAGCCATATAAGTTAAAGAGTGCTCGCACGATATCACCTACTCATCGACATTGAATTTGAGTGCTATTAACACAACTCATTTCACAAATATGTTTCACCATCAAAGTAATCACTGCAAATCAGCATCAATCTTCGATATTCAGGTAAAGGTGTTAAGCGACCAAATTGCTCGGCACAATCAACGGTACTTAAAAAAACTAAATCTGCATAAAAACCGCTAGCGTATGCTGTTGTTCTATGCAAAGAAATTCAGTGGACCAAATATTGAGTTCTCTCCCACTCAAGATATAGTTATCTCCATGTTGTAATCTACTAATTCAGTTGATGTGTAGTCGGGGTTTTGCTATATATTTCTCTGGAATAGAACAGTACACTGTATATGGAAGAAAGTGTTCGACGTCTATATATATATATATATATATATATATATATGTCATACACTTAAACGTTATCTTAAATTTTGTAACGACGGTAAACCGTTACACACCCCGCGGAGAAGCACTTCACGTAGGAGGTCTGTCTCTAGACCACGACAAACAGATAACCACGACTGGTGCTGGTATTATTACCAGTATGGAAAGTCCCCCAGAAACCACAGTAAACCCTGCAATTTTCCCAACTGAAAATCGATCGACAAGAAAAACGATTCGGGAAACTTCCAAGCCGTCACGCGTTAACGGCATTCGTAGCCGGCGAACATAGCCGTCTGTTATATGTCACAGATGTGATAACGAGAGTTCGCTACCTCGTCGGTACAGGCGCAGAAGTTATCCTTCTTCCAGCGAATTCCAACGACCGAGTTCACGAACCGGTTTTAAATCTACAGGCGGCAAACGGAAAGCCTATCACTACGTATGGCAAAAGGTACGTTTATCTTAAGATGGGTTTACGCAAACCCGTTCACTGGATTTTTGTTGTTGCAGATGTTTCTATGCTAATCATTGGTATGGACCTCCTACAGCACCATAATTTAATCATTGATACGCGCAAACGGAGGCTAGTAGACGGAAACACTAATTTATCTATTTGCGTAACTTATTTTTCTGGTTACAGGTTATCTCTAGTCACAATTAAGCACACTATAGACCCATTCTATTTTTGCGAATGCATTTCGGTCTAAGAAACGCTGCCCGAACCTTCCAGAGGTTTATAGATGACGTTTTTCGAGGTCCAAACTTCGTACATGCGTATGTTAACGACTGTCTAATAGCAAGTCCGGACAGCGAATCGCATCTCAAGCATCTGGATCTTGTTTTCGACCGACTAAAAAAACATGGCATTACTGCAAACATTCAGAAATGCCAAATCGGGACTGACTCATTAGACTTCCTAGGACTCACTATCGATGCGCATGGCATCCAACTCCTTAGAACAAAATTGGCGGCCATTCTTAATTACCCAGAGCCGACCACCATCAAGCAATTACGCACGTTTAACGGTCTAGTAGGTTTTTATAGGCGGTTCATAACGAAATGAGCGTCCCTTATGAAACCTCTCACCGATCAACTTCGTGGAAATGCGAAATCCATTATTCTGGATGACATCGCGCGAAAAGCATTCTCCACAGTTAAGGAACGTATCGCTCATGCAACCATGCTTGCTCATCAGGACACTAAAGCACCCATTGGTACCGCAGTGGACGCATCCGACTCAGCAATCGGAGGAGTCTTACCACAGTGAGCTAACCACTCCTGGCAACCTTTGGCATTTTTCTCCAGACGGTTACTAGACAGTGAATCGAGGTACAGCACATTCTGTAGGGAACTCCGAGCTATGTACTGTGTTGTACGGCATTTTCAACACCCTATCGAAGGCCGAGAAATCACCATTCTTACTGACCATAAACCACCTATTTTCTCCTCAAGTTCCCCTTCGGACAAGTACTCACCACGTGAGTCTCGACAACCGGACTACAATTCACAGTTTTTTACTTCACATATTTGACACATTTCTGGAGCAAACAATGTAGTTGCAGACGCCTTGTCTCGAATAACTTCCTTGAACAGTTTCCAAGGAATCGATCTCCCAAAACTCGCCCAGCTTCAAAAAGAAGACATTGATCTTCAGCAGGAGTTGTCCTCAACAACACTTAAACTGCGCATGACACAGGTGGGAATAGGTAAGGAAACCTTACTGTGCGACACATCTAGAGGTAGGGATCGCCCAATCGTGCCGAAACATTATCGAAGTAATGTCTTCGATACGTTGCACAGACTTTCTCATCCAGGTGTTCGTGCAACCATCAAGCTTATAGTAGAACGGTTTTGCTGGCCTGGTATGGATAAAGACGCGAGGGAGTGGGCACGCTCCTGTGTCAGCTGCCAGAAATCTAAGATTATTAGACATGACAAATGTCCCTTAGGCTCGTTTAAAACACCCGATGCTCGCTTCGACCATGTTCATTTGGATTTTGTAGGACCTTTACCAGACTAAAATGGATATTTTTATCTTTTAACCTGCGTAGACCGTTTTACTCGACGGCTAGAAGCATTACCCATCAAGGACATCAATGCTGAAGGAAATTTTATTCACGTCGATTTTCTTTCAGTACAATCTCACGACACGACTCCTGCACTTACAACACCTCAACAGACAGCCAACACACACAATGATATTTTGACGGTATCAGAAAATAAACTTTAAACAACGCGTTCTGGAAGAAGAGTAAGATATCCAGAACATTTGAAAGATCATTGTACGTAAGATACTAGTTTGCATCTTAAATCATCTTGATTTTCCTTTGTACTATATGTAATAAAAAATACCAATTTTAATATGCTTATATATCTATATTTTTATTTAAAAAACAAACAAAAAGCATAACATAAAAATCCTTTTTCTACGTTATTACGTGAGTATGAGTTGGTTTTCCATTTTTTCGCCCGCTTTGTGTTTTTACGTACGAGTGTATTTCGACATGCACTTACATATTTTTTTTTTTCCAGGATGGCTGGAAAAGACGATAAAGAGAAAGATGAAGTTTGCGAGAAACAGGAATCTTCATTGTACTTTTTCTTTTTTTACTATATTGTACTTCATGGTCCCTTATAGTAGGGAAATACAGCCAGGCGCTGCTAAACCTAGAAAGCTATCAGAAGAGTGTTTACCATCGACGAACTCGTTGGGTATAAACTTCTGGCTGGCCACTCCTTAGGATCATCACTACACCACTAGGAGAGAGTGACATGTAGCGGTAAATATATCCTCAAAATAAATAGCTCTGTAAGTTTTCGACTTTGGATGCTGACCACATTAGTTTTAATGAACTCGTCTAGCTGAAGGCGCTTGGTCATGCATCCGCACCAGATCACGAGTGGCAACGCCGTGCTTAACATCTACTGCAATCGCTAGCCAGATTAGATCAGACGATCCTCGATATATTGATGGCCTATCAAATATATTTTAGATCCTCCTCGTATCTGGGTACGATCCATATTAGAAGGTGTTACTGGTTAAAGCGTTGTCAAACTCCGGATACCTGTGGCGTCTTTACCATAATACTTGTGCCATTGGAGACTCATTGATGTGAGTCTGATTAAGCCCGTGTCTGCACATCAATCCTTATCCTATTCTCCCGTTGGTTGAAACACACACAATCAATAATTTATTCACAATCGATTAATATATATATATATATATATATATATATATATATATATATGGGTTTTTAAAACACATTCGTTCCCCTATATGTTTGCCATCTGTACGCATATAAATTTTACTATTCTTTAACACTAAACTATCTTTTTTACTGGTGTTTGGGTGTTTAATATTCTCGAGCAAAACCATAATTATAATAAGAGGTTTGGCCTGTGTTAAATGCTCATTTATCTGGATACTGTTTATTGGAGTCAGGTATATGGGAAATTAACCTCTACAAGTCATTCTTTTCTGGACTTTTGAGAATAGACTTTGTTGCGGAGAGTGCTGAAGGCAGTTTGTAGGGTGTGTGATGAATCTTTTGGGATCATCGTTAATATAGTTGAGGATTGATATCTAAAGTCTTGCAAACTCCTGGCAAGTGTTATCTTACCAGATACTGACCGTCCACTGCATTCATATCATTCACCTTATACATCTTCTGATAGAATAATAATAATAATTTATTTTCAAATGACAGTCTGTTACATGAGGCATGTCAGTTTACAGGCAAGATCCAATTGTTACAAATGATAAAATTTCCAACTGTAGTAAATAACTCAGCTGGATTGATAATTTATAAGATATGAATGTAGATGGTTTTAGTCAGTATCACAGTTGGCGCGCTTCATGAAAGTTGCGTCGCGACGTGCAACTGACGGTCGGTAATAGAGTAATGTGAAGTTGGATGCCTCTAGAAATCGCAACCTTCAAATGGTTTAAATGGTTGTGGACAAAATAGAAGAAGCTTTCGCTTAACAGGCTTCCGTGTCTAGTAGCAGGGGATCACCAATACCTCCAGGCAAGAACCTAGGTATGTTAACGATAAGGGAGAAAAAAATTGGTTAATCATAGTAAGATACTATCCTTAGTCTTTAAGAGTAGATCAAGTCACCTCTTAAAGGACTCCTGGGAAGTTGCTTGGACTAGCTCAGCTGGCAGCACATTCCAGCATTTGACAACTCTTAAGGAGTAGAAGTTGTGCCTGCAGTCCGTTCTACTATGTTGTATCTCTAATTTCTGGGTGTTACCCCTTAGGTTAGTGTTGGGACTAAGCTTAAGTAGGTGTTTAAGAGAATGTCCAGGAGTGTTAATGATACTTTAAGCCATTAGAAAATCATCTCTAAGACGCCAATACTCTAATGGGTAAAGGTCGAGTGATTGGAGGCGCTCATCGTAAGGTTTAAATTTGAGTCCTCGAACTGATTTCGTGGCTCGCCGTTGGATACGCTCCAGAGTGTCCTTATCCTTTTAGAGTATAGGAGGGAATACTATGTTTCCGTACTCTAAATGGGGACGAATGAAACTGTTGAAGATTATGTGGAAAGTTCTCCCGTCAAACTGACCAAAAATGAGCTTCAATGTTACCAGTGCAAGGTTTTCTCGAAAGGCATTTTTGT